AGATAGTGTGGTGATATACAATTATGTATAATAAGTACATATCTATGTGTCATGTTTCTTGAGACAAAGTTTGAAGTATTCAGTGATTAATTTACGTTCTTTGTATTAATAATAGTTTTGAATTTGTTTATATTGTTTTCTGATTGAAAAGTGCATTTGTGAATTCTGTATTAAGTATTTCTCTTTCATTTTCAATTTCTGATGAAGTGCATTTTTTACAGATTCTTTTTTCTGCTGGTATTTTTGGCCTTTTATTTCTTCAATTTAAAGTTTATGGCAGCTCAATCTCAAGTGTGACATTACTTTGATGTCTTCTCTATTATGTAATAAATGCAGATAGGGTGATGTACTGATATCATTTTTAAGGAGGCTGTAAGTTCTGAGCTTAGAATATGTTCTATTAATATCACTAATCCATGAATCTGTGTAGTGGGCGCCCTACATTGACTGAAGTACTCGTAATATTAACAGCAATTTTCAAATTACTGGGCTTTTAGAACTATCATGTGCTGCTACATAATAATAAACTTCAGTAATCACAGTCAATTTGGGGACACGTTGAACATATACAAGGTTTGTTTTGACCATAAATGAATAAATCTACAAACCAAATAGACATACAAAATTGTGCTTTTCAAACTTGGAAGGGTACACCTTTAATTACCCACAAGAAATAAACAAGCACCATTTTACGGCTGTCTGTCTTTTGTATAACGCCCATAATCGGTATGTACCCATTTGGCGTGGCTGTCAGAAGATGTTAAATGCGCAAAATTATGTTTATCTGACAAGGTTAGGGCTTTGACAATGCCACTCGTGCTGTGGTATTTGCCAGCGTAATGCACATCAAAATTCAACCTGAAGTGCTTGGCCAGTTCGGTGAACATAAGGCGCAGTATGTATTAATGCTGCATCAAAGTCAGTGATGTCTCTTCTTATAATCATTTAAAGGGCGGCAGTCGTCACGCCGCGTCATGTTCGATATGGGATTCATAGCGACGTAAACAACGCGTGTAAAATACATTGTTTATTTACATGAAATTCGAACACGCGCTGCGCGACGACCACCGCGCTTTAAGTTAGCGACAAAACAAGAGATGACACGGAGGAATCTGTAGGCATTTTAAAACTTGATTTGCGTACGATGCGTTGTCCTTGTGTCTGATTCGAGTTGGATGCTAAGCTGTACTTGTATGCATCTCTATGGACAATCGATTGCTGAATTGCGACACAACGCGGATAGGAGAAGATGGTAAAATCCTCCAAAGTGTCGAGGATCTTCCAGCAATCCAAGCGGTGGTCGTATTGCTCAATGCTTCGTATGTGTTGGCCGAGATGTACACCACCAAGGACGCACATGTAACCGTTGTACGTGACCAGGTTGAAGTCGGATCGTGGGTGGTTTGTGCTGCTCTTCTTCGACCATTCATCCTCTTGTGGATCATAGCGGAATGTGTCACCGCCCTCTACGACATAGATGAAATCCCCCACTGTGGCGGCACCGATGCCACACGTGTCTCGAGCAGGGCAGTGTGCGACGAACTCCCAGGTGTCACGGAGGCTGTCATAACGTTGTACCTGATTGGTGTACACTGTGCCGTTCCAACCTCCGATGACGTAGATGTACGATCGCCAGGTCACCGCGGCTTTGGTGCCGACAGCTGACAGCAGTGGTGCCATAGCCTTCCAGGAATCTTTCACCCGGTCGTAGCGATCGACGGTTGCCTTGACAACGTTAGTGTGGAAATTGCTACCACCAATGATGTAAAGGTGGCCGCAGTGGTAAACGGCAGCATAGAGGTTTAGTACTCTCCCCGGCTGTTGGCGCACTTCTTTCCATTCGTCATTTACGGGCGAATATATCCACGTACTGCGTTTCAAAGTAGACACCCATATATCGTGACCTATCGGAACAACGGACGAAATAAAAGCGTCCGCGGAACTAGGAAGTACTGATAACATTCTCCATTTTTTCGTTCGGGGGTTATATATTTCTACATTCCTCTGTCTTTTGTCCATTTCATAACTCCCGAAGAAGGCGAGAACCTGGTGATAAATACGGCGTTGTCTTGGCGCCACGATTTGGAGCGATTCCATTCGCGACAAGTTGGCTACTACGGTCGCATTTTCATTTGTTATACGACCTGCAAACAATGCGTCCACGTGAATCAGTTCGGCAAACTGCTGGTATGGAATCTCCTCGTATCTACTTTGGTTCGACTCGATCCACCGTATTATCAAATTAACTACGGTTTCTTCCCTATCTATGATGACGTCGTCAGACAGAAGGTCTATCAGATGCTCAATATCGACTTCCAGTATTTCGTCTTCGCGACAAACTTTTGAAAAGTTGGCATAACCGAATTCTTTTGCCTTTTTTGAGAGTGTGCTGTAACCCAGCGACTCGGCCAAATGAAATATACCCAAGCAGTTGAACGTTGCAAGCCTTTCTTCTAGGAATTCGACGCACACGTCTTCCACTTCCCTCCATTGTAGTTGGTTGGCAACTATCAACAAACCCTCAACACTTTCCCCATTCAGTTCCAAGTGTCCAGTATATGCAAATTCAACCAGCGATTTCACAATATCGCTGTCGATTTCACGCAATCGTACAGTTTCGGCTTTACTCTCACTTAGTTCGCTGGAAAACATCGCCAGGAAGAAATCACTACACGCAGCAAGAACGCAGCGGTGGCATGGTATTGTGTGATTATCGGTTTCGATGGCAACGTCAGTTAGCGATTCGGTCTGCCTTAATTTGCCAAGTTCCGTTAGAAAGGAATTAATATATTCGTCACTGGTCTGTCGCGTGTTGGCGCTGTTTTCTGGCATTTGTTGCGTAGAGCCTGGGTCGTCTCGGGTGGTTGTGATGTCAAGTACCGTAGCTGCTGTCTCGATAATTTTATATTTGTTGGCTTTGCAACACCTACCAGAATACATATAATGAACTATATGTCCGAGACTGTCCGAGTCAATTTGCTCAAGTTCTATGCGTTTTCTTTTAGAGGAACTTGTGACGTGGTCGTCATTTTTCAAAAGCTCGTCCCTTAACTTTGAGCTAGATGCGGCAAGTACCACGGCATGGCATGGCGAACACTTACCGGCAACCGAGAGAGTTACATCATTGAGACGGTTATCCTGCCTCAATTTGTTCATTCGTCCCAGTAGGTGTTTTCCATGGGATTGTCGAAATTTTTCTTGGACCTTGCGCTCATTTGTCCTTGATTAAATTTTCTAAAATCTGCTTATAGCCCAGTGGTTGACTCAGCGTCCTCGAATGCGTACTTATTTTACGTCTGATTTGTTTTGCTGCTTTTTTACCAACTTTTAGCCGTCCTAGTTTGTAGGCGTTTTTTGCGTTAACATTTGCAGAAGAACTGTTGGGTTTTGACGACTTGTTACCCATTTCTGGAAAATAAAAAAGGACGTAAGCATGGTGTAAGGAAATTATAATGACGTATACTACTGCTATGAACAAATAAATAAGTTAAGAAATTTGTAAAACGCTTTATAATAAATTTAATAAAGAGCCAATGAGAATAAATTTAAGATATTTTTCAGGATAATTTTGGTTGATATGAATTCGTGATAACGATATAGTATAATTCATCGAAAACAATAAACGCTCAACTCTTTTATAGTAGTGTATTAGTTAGACGAAATAACGCAAATGCAAAATCATTCTGCGCATGCGCTTCGAATTATATGTACGTAAAGGTTATTACATCGAACGAATACTGATATATTTCCAGTTAAAACAAGTTGGGTTTTTAAAAGAAAAAATGTATTAATTTAACATTCTCAAAAATACTTAAAGTTATCCATATTGACCCTTCAATACGCTGTCTAATTTTATCGGACATATGCCGACTTCACGGATCTGGGTCACCAAGGTGGTGGGTATTAAATGAATACCACTTTAAATGGAATATATTAAACTGTTACAAAACCCCCCATCGACAGGATACAAGTGAATTCACACAGTATGCAACGTCAGAGGTACTTCATTAACAGTACCGGTTTCTATATTCGCATATTCGAAGCGAAAAGTTCAGAGAAAACACAATAACATATCACACGAAAATAACATATAAGCTTCTGCTATTATTTTTAACAGTCTGAAAAGTGTCATTTGGTAAAAAAACGAATACCATGCCCCATCTATTATGTATCCGTTACATGACGTTTGCAAAGCATTCGTTGGTTGTTTAGTTCCTTTTTGTATACTCGATCATTATACAGATTAGTCATTCATGTGTTTTTTTAGCTGTTCACGGAAGTTCAAACTGAATAAAATCCTATGGATTTAGTCCGACTTCTACTTCTACATTTTCACTCGACGTTGCTATATCTCAAGCATGGGTCCAACATGAGGCGGCTTTTGGATAACATATTTTGTCTGCATCATGATGCTCCGTAGCATTTGATGGGATCATTGTGCGAGAACAAAGGGCGATGTCAAAAATGTTTTTCCGAGAATTGTACTCAATTTGATCGTGTATTGTAGGACGCGTACGATATTATTGTTGACATCATTCGATAACTTGATTGGGATGGTGTTGCCCCCTCGATCGGAGACTAGGTAAACAAATACAACCGAAATACAGACCAATGTCTGTATGGAGGTTTCAATTCTGGGTATCGGTTTGCGGAATTTATCCAATACCGCAAATACGTCATTTCTATTCATAATATAACATCTTTTCCATTCTTACCTGTACTCTGAGCGTTAGCTGAGCGTAAACACCAGTTGTGTTTCCCCACTTCCTGTCAGTCTGTGTACGATGCGAATAGCGAACTGCCTTTTATTTGCGTGCTCACTGTACCTACCACAACATGTCATAGCACACGTATCACAATGAAAATACTGCTAATATCACCCACCTGGTTCAATGCAGTCTGGGGTCCAATATACATGTGAACATTTCATCAGAAACATAAGGGGTACTTATCCTTCGCGCGTGATGACGTGATGTGTTGGGGTCTGTCAAAAGTTGGTGTCCTAACAACTAAACTATGTACATCGGCGTCCCATTGTGAGTGCGGCATGTAATATTTGGCTTATAAATAAATCATAAATAATGAAATATTTTCTTTTCAAGATGCGCGTTAAAAGAAAAACAATCGCCGATCACGGCGTAGTAACGATACATATCGCAGATGACCTCAGCTCGACGCCGCGGTAGACGGAACATCGATTTCTATTTGAATAGGTTATTGATTGACCATGGCTAAATCACCGTACGGAACGAACTCAGATATAATTAGGCTAGTTTGTCCTTGTTCCGAATGATATGCTTATATATCACGATGTACAGTTCGAACGAATGGGAGAAACATTTTTGTTCTGAGGGGGGGGGGGCGTATTTTGTCAGTATACGGAGGCTGAAGTATGTTCACTTTCATAGCGATTTCTCTTTCTGGCAGTGTTTGTATTCACCATTTCTTTCATTTGTATTACTTCCCATCCTGTTGCTGCACCAGCAATGGTTCGTCCCTAAATTTATGTTGTAAATAAAAGCTATATAGTAATAATATCATTCGCTAATAAAGGAAATTGACTCTAGCGTTATGACAACTGCTAATGCTCGAACATACTTGTATTGTAACATCGCATACTTGGGAGCCTTTGTAAACGGCTCTCCAAGACAAACACAATAAAAATATAAAATATAGTTTATTTTATCATTTATTGACCCTAGGTATCGACAAACAGGCATTTTTTCAAAAGAATGTGCCGCGTTTCCAAAAACAAAAAAACCTTGAACTATCATCGAAACACGTGAAACACGTACACTCTCTTCTTACACAAATACACAAACGCACATTATAGGAAGTGTCTGTCTGGAGACTAGCGGAGAGGCGCGGGGGGGGGGGGGTTACCAACACTGCCATAAGTTATGTGTTTGTACCTAGTAATTTTGCGGAAATATCGCTATGATGATTTTAATAATCAAATGTCGCACCAAACCGTAATTTGTAATTAAAAATCATGTGACCACAAATCAGTAGACATCATTAGTATATACTAATTTACGAACTTTTATTTTATAAAACAGCTCATTTTGATTCCCACGATACTGGTATCAATGAACAACTTTTACAATTGTATGATAGTGATGCTTCAAATACTTCTACATGGGCTTCATCGTGCAATCTAGCAGGAAGTATTGCTTAGAAATTATATAAAAACGGACTCTGCATAACCAAACAACCGCATACTTAGAACGTCAAACTTTGTAATATTTCAGTGAAATGGTAAGTTGTTGATTTGTGCACATGCGAATAATAGGTATTTTTTTTAGGTATTTTAAAAGCCTAAGTAATTCCACCATGGATATCATGTAATCTCTGCTGAATGAAAGAATCAAAATCATTTTGTTTTGGAAAACCAAAGGGAAGTACATATTTTGTATATGAGGGTAAAGCTTTGAGTATTTTCCTCACCTAAGGTACCAAGACAGACAGTAAAGTTAGTTTGTCATTTAAAAAAAAAAACACCCAGCTATTTAAAATACGTTTAGTCACTAGATGATATCCATCGAATGTTCACGACTCGTGTTGTTACCCCAGTTTTCAATTTGATCTTTAGTGACGATGGTATGTCAAGTTTTCACACACATATTTCATATATGCACCCTTCATTTATGACATGTTTGGCAGAACCATCTGATAAGGCTAGACTGTTGACCATACGACCAAGCTTGGAGAGTTTCCTTCCGGTTCATTACTGGCAGCTTAGGTTATTAATATGCATGGATTTTTACGCAAATCTAATCAAATCTGTACATTAGTAAACAGCATGGATGTAGTTTCATCAAAATCCTATGAGTTGTTTTTAAGATATCAGTGGAACAGCTACAAATTAGCTAATTATCATGCAAATTAGGTTATTAAAATGCATGGTTTCCTAAAAAATCTAATCGAATCTACGCATTAGCCAAGAGCATATATGCATCAAGTTCATCAAAAATCAACATATGGTTCTTGAGATATCAGTGGAACGGACAGACAAACCCTTCATACACACACAAACGCACTAACTGTGAAGAATAAGGTGTTACCATATCATTTCATCGAAAATTGATATTACAAAATTGAGTGAAAGTGTTTTATCTATTGTTTCTTATGGCAAGGATATATGTCAAAATTTGGCTTGGTGACATATGGTGATATATGACTTACAAGTAAAGTACTGGTTCATGTCTAAAGTTTTATAGTCAGATTTTAATGACAGACTACATTTTCTTTGTGGTCTAAATCTGCTAAGTTGCTATTTTATGTATAATACCGGTATTTGACAGTTTTTTTCCTAAAAGCTTGACAGTGAACTAAAATTCCACATACCTTTTTAAATACTAATTAAATACAGACTGATTTTGACACAAAATATCATCACTGTTATGCACGCATATCAAAAACCTACAAGATGTTTTGATTTGTCTAATCATGCAATATACTCCAGTCTACATTGTTAACTCCATCTGCTGAAAGCCCCCAAAATTCAATAAAATATATCAAAATAAATATGTGCATTATACAACAGAGTTGCATCAAATCATGAGGTCTTTAATCAATCTATTTGACGAAACAATGACTTATGTATACTTTTGCAGTCATAGGATGCTGTTGATAGCAGTCATCTATGAGGATTTTTTGGTATAAAGATAACTAGAATTTGGGACCCGATGCCAATTCAAGTCAGGATAGTGAACCGATTTGCTTTCAATTATTAGTTAATACACATTAATTTTCCACATCCCACTATGGATGTCACATGGTCACTGCCACATAGCTACACGATCTTCAGATGATTGTCAATGCTTAAATTTACAGTTTTCATTCAACCAATCACATTTACGGTACATAGCTGATCATGACAAGATATTACTAGCACTGTAACTAGGCGTTAGTGGAGTGACTTAACATGGACTTTCTACTAAGAGAATACATACCTCAAAACCACATATACAAGAGCAATGAAGAGTATAAAAATTGTGTTATTTAATTATCAAGTATGATACATAGTATCCAAGTACATGTCATACCAAAAATACAGATTATAAATTAATATTTACAATTCATTGGCACAAAAATTCTAAGACTAGAACCTCTTCCCAAAATACTCTAATCCTGTTTGAAGTCAACACTATTTAATCTTATTCGTTTTTTCACTTTTCAAGAGATCACAAGTTTGAAAATTATGTTGCCACATAAAATACCATCCTTCGATTCACAGTTAGTGCTGACTTAGTTTGGAGGGGTGACCTGAAGTAAATGTTCATTGGCTGACAAAGATGATCATTTACAACCCAGTTATAAACATGTCAGAATGATGATTTGGGAAGTTTAATGTTTGATTGTGAAAAATCTATGAACAATGGACTACCATGGTGAATCAGTTGTGGGCAGGCCTTACCTACAGATCAGTCTGCACATGTGTGTTTCCATGGTAATGTACTGAATTCATGGAGAAAGCCTATCAGTGATGACACAGAATTGTTACATAGCTATTCACCAGGCCATTCTTGGATGTACTCCGAATCCGAGACTAATCATCAAAATGAAATGACATTCAACACATCCAAATTATAAAATAAACACAAAAAGGCATTTTAAAAAGTTTAACAAATACTTATATTAATAAATTAATTTTCCTACCTGTAAATACCCAAACTGATTTATGCCTATGAGTACTCTTTTTTTTTATATATATGTGGATAACTCATGTATTTTAATGAGAACAGCCTGAAATAAGGCTTTTGCCAAACCTGTCAAATGCATTTATCACATTTGCATTTGCCAAACTACTAGTATCTCATTTGCAACATCTAATTATGATATTAGTATCACTTGATCTCATCATATATTTCGACCACATATTTTACCACAGTACACTGGAGATTGAATAGACTGGTTCAGGTAAAGCCTTTTTGTTTTGTTTTATTAGCACAAGGGTGATCATAGAGTCAGTTTGTGATGTTTGTGTTTTCTGAGAAAGTTTAGATCACCATTGTAGTGGATAAAATATGCAGCAAAAATTGTGATCAATTTGCAACACTAATTTATACAAAAATAATGACAGATTGCACGAAAGCCAGACTGAATACAAAAGTGGTCATAAAAATAGACAGCAAAACAAATACCATTTTGCATGATACCTAAAAACATTTTGGAAACCTTATCCCTGAAACTTATTAAATTTATCGGGAAGCAAATATAAAATATATCATAACTACTTTATTACCACCACAGTAAAAATGTAGTCTGAATCGGCTTTATTTTCGTAGTTTACAACTTACTGAAATATAAATCAAGTCAAGTCAAGAAATTGATGTGCACAGTTGAAAAAAAAAAATGCTGTGACAAACATTTTTAACTGTGGTGACCAGAGACAGAAAATGCTGGATTTCTAATATGTATAAAAATAAGAAAAATTACATTGATTTATTTATGAGTTTAGGGTGACTAAACAAACTTGCTGTAATTGTACACAATGTACTTCATGAAGGTAACTAAACCATAGAAGTATACGGTAGTTCATCTGTAACCTTTTTTCTTCAATATCACTTTCCCCCACAAATATGTATATCATGGCCAGCATTTGCATTAATTATGCAATGGGTTTTATTTAATTACAGGTTAAGTTAAACAGCATATGATGACTCAAAGCTCCATGTTATGTCCTGGATTATAAAATCTGAAGGAAAATGCAACTAGCGTGCACACGAGTATTATCTTTCAACCAATGATACAAAACTTAAAGCTATCAATGTGTTCCGTTTTTCAGCTATTTCTGATTGGTTAATTCTTAAATACTTAAAAAAGTGCATATACATACTGGTTTTTGGAACTAAAACAACCCTAAAATGATACCGGTAATTTCTTCCACATCACATGTAGTCATTTAATACAAGGATTTCAAATTTCCAGTGGTGCTAACTAATGTGTGTCGGTGTTCTTTCACAACATCATGAAAAGATGTACATAAAAAGCAAGTTGCAACATGTGTAGAATTTCATTGAGTGACTGACAGAGATAGAAATAATTTTTTTTTCTCAATCAACCTATGAGATGCAATCATCTACACTGTAACACATAAGCCAACACCATTACAAGTTTGAATCCTTATTTCAACCACATGTCATATGGAAGTAAAATCAAACTGAAAGATATGCTCAGATTACAAAACAGGTTAAGGTGACAGTGTCAACTGTGCTTCCTCTGCATAGTCAAATCCATGACCACTTTGACTGAGTTGAGATATGCTTCGGTCAGTAGTAAGCTCATCAAACTGAAAAACAAACAGAAATCTTAGTCACTAAACATGACTAAATTCACCTTCTATATCATTCTAATTGATTGCAATTTTATTATCTGCAATACACCTTTCCATGCTCTCTAGCGATGAATACAATAAAGGTACAATATCAGATATTGAAAATACAATTAATTAGAATGATCTAACAGTGAAATTTGTTAACTTTGCATAAAATCCAAGAAATCAAAATCAAACTTTTTGAATAACACACTAGAACTGAAAGTTAATATTGTGTTATTAATAAACAACTTGTTCACTGATTGCACAAGTGAAGTGGTTAATTTTCTTAGTTCTTAGTCCCTGGATTTGGACCACATGCTATTCTGTGTAAATTATAGTGCACAGTATTTAAAAAAACAAAACAAAAAAAACATGGCCATGTTAAATATTTTAGACATTTTTATTCATCTCTCAGACAGTTTGCGTGCATAATATGAGGTTATTATGAGGATACCTCAAAGTATGCACAAAGACAGAACAGCGGAAGTATCGATCAACGTGAAGCGGAGGTTGATGTGACGGCGTACTGTCTGATTGCATACTTTGAGGTATTCTCATAATAACCTCATTATTATACATCTTTTCTTTTCCGAAATCCAAAATGTTTAGAACAGAATCAGCAAACTTCATTGTGTGGAGTCCGGTCAAACTGTAGTGGCAGCCATGTTTGTTTTTATTATTAGAGAATGCTTATGCGAGTATTTTGTATTTCCTAATATGGTAGGATGAAAATACCCTGTAAAATACTGAAAAATTTTGGCACGCTGTAACTTATGGCGTTACAGTGACAGATGTATAATAATATACAATACATGCATCACATCACTTGCTGAAAGCCTCCACAAATAATAAATGAATTGGGTTGGCAACAGCAGGTGATGGTGATAAGCAAATTATTTTATTTGCTCAACATTATTTCATGTTTGTCTGCTATAGATTTTTACCTTATCATTACTGCTAACAAGAAAATCATCATCAATGTCTTCTTCAATCTCCTCAGTCATACTGTAAGTAGGTTCTGTTATTCCAGACAGTCCTTCAGGTTGGCTTTGGCTTGGCTGGGTTTGGCTGTCATGAGAACTACTACTGCTGAAGTTTTGGTACAAAAACCACAGGCACACATACATACAACACACACATCGTAGCACATAATGAATATTGACATGAAAATGGTAGGGGAGATGTCAAAGACAAATATATGGAATAATAAACAAATTGACAATATAATGCGAGTTTATAATTCAAAGAGTGACAGGAAAAAACCCCAACAAATTTAAGTATAGGTGTATATATAACAATGAATAATCAGAACAAGAATGGATGATGTGTTAATGACAAATGAGACATACATGAAAACAACCAACAGTCATTTAGTGACAACCATCAGCAAAAAATATTAGATAAAATAGATGATAACATTGTCAACACAAGGCATGCATGAATTTACAAATATACCATACACCAGATGAGTTATAAGAATAAACATGCAATAACATACCACCATCACATCAAACAGAAAAGGAGAAAAGAATAGAAAGGTTTGTGGTGAATTATTGTGTATTACATGTCCAAATATAAAGGGAATATTTATTGCAATATAAATCAGTGAACAAATTAACCCTGTTTTTCTTGGGTTTTGCATATCATGAATCAGAATACAATAATTACATGCTACACACACTGAAATTAGATTTTCAGTGAAAAGGAATCGTTTAAAAGCCTTATTGCTTAGAGACAAATTTTGTTTGACAGAAATGTCTGTTCATATATGTCTTAATTTTATAAGAAATACCAGAAAAAGAGTTTGGAATAGACAGGTTATAAAGTAATTTTAAATTAATATAAAACAGTTATAAAGAATTCTAATATTCTACACAATCTATCACCATAATAATACCTGCATAGATATCATGAATCATGCACCATAAATGTTGTTCGATTGTTCACATTATTCATTACTTCATGATACCACCAATTGCAGTTTACAATGATACACAAGCAAAATATTACATAAATAGATATGTTATACATCTAGGTTGCTGCTTGGAAATGGTCAAAATCTTATTTTGCAATTTGTTTCAAATTTATTTGTCAATGCTGTGAAATAATATGTGTGTTTGTAGCACATCACTGAAAATTGCGCAAATATTGGGCTGAGAGACGGGTCAACCACCTGCCTTTTTCTAAAAGTGATATATTGTCAATGAGCATGTCTAGCATTGTTATGATGCAACAAAAATCAATTTCAAAATTAATATTCTAATATTGACTATTTCATTGAAATCAAAATGAATGGATTGAGCAGCAGTTCAGGATCTGTACAACTCCTCCGACTGCTCAATCAAGCTAAGCTATTGAGCAGCATAAGTGACATAATATTGAGTATTCTGAGAACTTAAAATCACATATTTATCTCACCTTTGAAAGTCATCTTCATAGTCATCAGTTGGTGGGTTATCATCCCTGGGTGTGATGCCCGGTGATGTATAGCCCGCTAATTTATCTATGCTTTCTAAATCTTTGTCAAGACTCTGTAACTCTGAGTGCTTAACACCCTCTGCAAAAAAGGAAAACAAATTAGGAAACTAACCATTAAATCTAGCCACTAGAAATGTTCAATAATACAAATACTTGAGGGAGTTACAGGCAAATAAATTTTATGAGAGTCACTGTGAAATTATCAGTGCTACAAAATTTCGTGATTTTCTTGAACTTTTGATCTTGTACAGTTTACACAATTATACACAGGGCTTGGAGACCATTGCCAAGAATCCTGCATCAGAATAGTCAAATATTTCATATACTGTAAAATGACTTAATTTTCACTGGGTTTAATTTCACTGATTTAGCATTTCAGGCATATTCATTGGGTTTTTAATTCAAGGTTTTATCATTTAGATAACATGTTCTATGCTCAATTATGCATATTCACTGGGTTTTAATTTAGCGAATTTTCCAGTCAGCGAAATAAGCAAAATTAAAACCTAGTGAATAATTAACTCTTTTACAGTATGATTAGTTTATTTTATTGAAATTATTTTTGCTTCATTTTATTGTTATCAATTCACTATTATTATGTGGTTATCATTAAGTGGACTATGCAGTCAATGTAATGATAATGAGTGAACAGTTGTATCTAGTAATTTATTTATTTGGAAGTCCAACACAGATTTAATACAGTTTTAAAAAAATACCATAATTTGCACTGACAGGGGGGTATAGTACCTTGTTGTCACAACAAGCCTTTTAATAGGATCAACCTAAAGCGATACTATTTTGTATTCACACACCTACATGCACAGAAATGATGCTAGGATACTACAAGCAATTGTACTCTTACTTACCTTTAGGACTCGCAACTCCAGGCAGAGGTGGTGCATCTTTGAGTGAACCGAGACCACTGCTGCTGAGAGGTGGCGCTCCTGACAATGAAGTTAAGCCTGCCTGTTTAGAAGGTGGACTCTTCGGAGGTGAAGACCTGCCTTTTCTGAAAAGATGAAGGCAATGTTATTGGTTAAATCATGGAATGCAAAAACAGTTCTCACTTGGAGTCTTTTTAACAAATTTAAACGGCTTGATTATAATAATCTATGAACTTTTGATTAAAAAAAGAACATAATAAATGCAGGATGATTGTCGAATCCAAGTTCAAGTAAAAATCACATATGATATGATTTTTAAAGGATGATGGTCAATTGGTCATCATATGCATATTCAAATTTCATGTAAACAAACAATGTGTTTTCAACATGTTATGTACATTGCTATGAGTTCCATATTGGACAGGACGTGGTGCAACAACTACCATCCTTTAATGAAAGGTAATCACACTTACGAGAAGACATTTTTACTGTTATCTGGGAGTGGTTCATCAAAGAATGCATCTTCTAAACTGTCATTTCTTTGTATTCCATTTGAAGTTTTGGGACTGCTTTGATTTGACGCTTTCTCCTTTTTCTTCTTACCATTCTCTGGGGATTTCTCTCTCTGTATGATCACAAAGTAAAATATGTTAACAGCTTTATTTTTCACGATATTTCAATTTGTGAGTTATTAGGTAAAGCTGTAAAATTTTGTAATAGGTCAATGATAATACTGTAGGCTACAGTCACAAAGCTACTGAAGTTTTGTGTTCCCAATGCCATCAAATTATCATATTGCACAAACTGATAGTGCCATTGAAAGTCACAAACATATGAAACTGTCAGGCACCAGTGAAAATCAAAATACCTATTGAAGACAATTTAAAAATTTAACACTTCATTAATACTACTTAATACTAAGTCAATGCTACTGAGATACAGAAAATTCTTTTTTTTTTGTCTCCTTGAATATATCCATCAATTAGCCTAAATTAAAAGCACATCTCAATAGAAGCGAAAATAAACAAAAAATGTCATATAATGTGTGTTGGATTATTGAAACATGACTTATTTTGACTGGAGACAGACTTTGCTCAATTCTGTTAGCTACTAATAGAGCAAAATACAGTATAGTGAAAAATCAACATTTGATGATGATTAACAGGAAATTTTACGACATGGGGCGAAATATCATCAATGTAACAATATTATATATACATTGAATAAAATCATCTATTATAACTAAATGTATGTTTTGCTTACCCTGGGTGAATGTTTAAGTCTGGGTGAAGTTTGTACAATATCCGATACATCATGGGCTACCACACCTTTACATAACACAAATAAACGTCTGTACATTGCTAAAAATTCTTCAAAATCAATTCCTGTAAAAATAAATATTGCCAATTAGCAAAAAATGGCTACTCGTATTTATCTGACTATCTGAACGATCACAGATAGCGCGTGTATCACAGATACATATTCTTGCCTAGGTTTAATAATAGAAATCCCCTTTTTCTTTTATCAATACTATCTGAGATAAAAGAGAACGCACAGACCTAAGGTTGCTCAATACAGTTTTCCAAACATAGTTTTCTGCGAGAACAGTCTCAACATGTATAACCCAAGTATTAGCAAAGGGGCAATTTTATGTTTTATTTTAACTCCCATAGAGTTTTATGTATTAACTCTGTAACCCACCTACAGTAATATCATATTCATTTCAAAACTTAGGTCCGAACCTATGAAATTTTGTTTCCACCTAGGACCATGAATAGCAATAAGCAATCTATTCACAAAATATAAACAAAAGTTTGTGAAACTGTATTGAGCATCCTAACCAAAATAAAATGCTGAAATTCAATCACCTATAGACTTTGAGGGGTATATTGGTTGGTTAAAAGTTCATTTTATTTGTGTTTCATTAGGATATTAAAATATTTTCCACACTTCATTTTAACCATCTGTAACATACGTTACTTACCACTGCTGAAGTCTTTGTCCACAGATCTGAATTCATCATTGACATATCGATCTAACATGTTTCTGAAGATTAAAAGCAACATATGAGTACCATAATAAGCAACAATCCATTTTCAGGCAATCTAGAACAATGAGCCATTTCACCTGTATCTGCACCCACAGTGATGAGGAGTCTAGATTTTCTACACTACAAGGTAATTTTTGAACTGATTATGACAAAGAACTCCAAAAATTATAATAGGCATACATAGTGTAGAAATAAAAGCTTGACTATGGTATGTAGAATGACTGAAAAATTTGTAGCATATATACACACGTTGAAAATGTATCAGAAGAGAAGCAGAAGTTCAGACACATCAACAAGGAGTTGCGAATATAAAGTGGAATAGTCCATTAATGCAGTGTCTCTTCTTTCAAGTTCTCTGACAATACATATAATAGAAGTTTCTGGGCATCCAATATGGAATTTTCAGAATATAAAATTGCTCTCATGGTATAATAAAAAATAACAGTATTTTACAATAGGTGTAATACTAATTGGATCAAATTTCATTTGCCAGGATAAATACATGGACAAGGAAATGTGAAGTCTCTTACTTATGAAAGTGAGGAAAAATATCTAAGAAGAGTCCTCTGAGTTCATCTTTATCTATCATACCGTTGTCATCCTGAAAAAATAGAAACAAGATTATTGAGTTATGTAAAACAAGAGTCTAAGTACAATTCAAGATTTTTAGAGGTTATTTCAAGGACACTGTGTACTGAATGACAAAGGAATAGCTATTTTAATGTGTTTTTTGCCAATAAATTATGATTGTTTCGTGAGGGATGAAAACTTGAATATGCCATTATTATTATAGGATGATTCCTAAGCTTGGTGGGGGAGAGGCAGATTCATTCCTTATCTTGTAAGTGGATTTCCTTACATGGTAGAATGCAGATAAGGCAACATTGAAGTTGGCTGTAACTACAGTAATCAAGTTACACTGCAAAAGGGATGTGCTTTATATACCAATTTCAATATTGGTGAAAGCAATATATCATATACTAATTTCAATGTGCAGCATAGGAGACAGCATACAGTTGAGCAGGTAACTCACCTTGTCATACTGCTCAAATTTTTGTCTGGCATCCACAACTTGCTTACTTGTCAAATCCTACATTGAGAAATCAAAATATGAATATACAGGAAACTAAGGCATATGCATGTTTGGAACTTCATGATCATTCAACTATTAAGTAAAATACTAGTAGATGGATTGACAATGAAGAGATGAATTTACCAGCTATAGACAAACACAGTGTAGTTGTGGGCGATACCAGTAAAAGATGGTTTCATTGAAAGATAATGAAGTCCTACTATGTTTGTTGCCACAAATTTTAGTTTAAACTACTGATAATGAAGATTTTTATCAAACGCTAGCAACCTAGTATTTCTTTATTACTTCATAGATTCCAAAAAGCTGGTCAATGTAGTGATACATGTGACAAAATGTAAATGCAAAACACATTTGGAGGCAGCCGGCATGCAAAGGAAAATATGTATTACATTAACAATTTGATCTATGTCTGGTATCTCAATACTACACAACCATACCGTAATTTATCTTTCAATGTTCTGTCTTACATATAACTAATTCTGTGAAATTGTCCAGCCATAAGTGAAAGATACATATTTACAGGGACAACCCAGACTCATGAGTTTTAACATTAAAATCCATTTAAGGAGGTACTGCGATTGACACATAGCAAGTTTTTTTTGTAATGACAGTTTTCACCTGTAAAATATTCACCACCATGGCATAGTAGTGTACAGTAGGCAATGTCACACACTAGATATATGGCAGACAACATTGAAAGGTAGTAAAAGCTGGATCTTAAAGATACAGTATGGATGAAAATATATATTTTTAAATATTGTTTTTTGACACTCCACATTGTAGACCAGCTAGGCTTATGATTTATCATCAACTAAAAAAGATGTATTTGCAAAACACATCACTGTATATGTTAGATGAAAAATCAAAATATTTAACACACATGTGAATTGATTTTTATTGTGCATACCAAAACAACAAGTGCAGATACATACAAAAGAATTTTGTTGTTTCATCAAACAAATACTGAGATGTGTGCTAAAGAACAGCATTTGGGTTATGATAAATCATAGTCCAATGTATTCATCAAAAATACAGTAGCATACAACAATATTAAAAATTACACGTTTTTGTCCATATTGTATCTTTAAAACTAAAACACATAATACATGTATTGATAAAACTTGTTCCATGATTACAGTATGCGAAACTTCATTACTCGCATCAAACAGAATAGATTGCAGTTGCTTTATGCTCAAATTCAATAATAGCACAAATCATGATTTTATATTCCAGTGACAAATATTTTCAATATCAGTGGTTAAACTCCTCTACTACCCACATACATTACCATAAAATCTGTAATAGAAGCTGTATCTCTAATATAAGCCGCACCCATTCGTTTTGAACAATTGAGACCCAAAATTCACCAATTCTCATATGTGTAGATGGCTCAAATAGAAGTCGCATCCCCTCTGTTACATTGAACCATTTTAATAGAAGCCACGGTTTCTAATACAGATTTTACAGTAGTACATTTTACGAAAGTTTAATCAATGTATCGCCTGCTGATGCCGTTTTTTCCCATTCATTTGTGTTATTTGTGAAGGTGTTGAATGGCTGAACGATATATTTCATGTTCCAAAACAAAAATCGAAGACAATTTCTAATTGTTTTACATAGTTTCTTGTCATTTGGTCACTGGTAATACATAATCACTTCAGAATGCAAACTTTTAAATTTGCATACCAGTAAGTTATTTATCTGTCAGATACCGAAACATGCAACATAGCACTGTGAACATGTATAGAGAACCAAATACTTTTATGAGCAAAACATTTCATTGATCTAGAACACCGTCCCTCAAGAGACGGTGTCTAGAATGACTTTCAGAGGAGACTCTTCCGGCACTTCCTTCTAGAGATTCAATGCATGTTTAGTAGATAACAGTTAATTAAAACTTAATTAATGCAAATTTGCACTACAGCAGCCTATTATCAACTACCATGTATGGATGAACAACACTGCTGAAGTGTGAACCTTGATGCAAGACACATACTCAAGAGAAAATAATTCTTTTTTATTGTCAGTAATGTCATGCTTTTGATAACTGCTTTTGATAGTATGGTAGGGACATAGTTAAATCATCAACATCAGATTTCAAATAGTAGCATGCTTTTACAGCAAGTCTTAAAAGTATTAGGATAGCAAAGTAGCAAACTTGTTCACTAATTAGCTGATGGTTTTGAATTAAAACAAATTAACCTATAATTTGATTATTACCCTTCTTTATGACACAAAAAATCGAACTTGTTTATGCCGGTATATCATCTGCTTAGTCAAAACCAAATTTGTAAGGAAATTAGTGAGCAAGTTTGATAATTTTTTCACCCAAAATGATTAGAATATTGAATAAAGTGCAATCTGCTGAATTTTCATTGACCGATTCCGGAGAATGATGTAACATTTGTTCCCATACATTCTAGGAAAAACTGAGTTACAGTAGAATGACTTGAAAGCAAATTTGAGTTTGTGTCTTACAAGAAGGTACCAGTAGTACACAAATGCATGCAATTTTGAGCAAACATAAAAAACAAGAAGCTGAGCCAAAAAACCAAAACGTTATTTTATATAACTGCATTTCCAGCAAAATGACAATGAAAATGAAACAAAAACAACATAAAAGACGCAAATACTAAATCACTAAAAAAACACATAAGCACATGCATGTAAGCATTCTATACCCAAAATTCCTAGAAGACAATCCATCCAGAGTGATACACGGAATACATCAACAGGCAATGGAAAGGAAAAAAATACAAGTTCTAATGAACATGCAAAGTAATGGAACAAACAGCAATACTGGAATCTTGAAATAAAACAACAGGAAATGGTGGAGGTTACATTTACAAACAATTTAACTGCAAGCTATAAAAAAATGTAATGTGATCATTAAATACGTAAATAACATGTAGAAGATTAACTGGAATCAGGTTTTTACTGTTTTTATTAGCTGGGAAATCCAGCAAAAAACATGAATGGAAAATATATCTAACTTTACATGAACTTTATTTTGATGCTGAACCAATAAAAATAAAATTATTAAACACAGGACAAGAATGTTAATAATTCCAGCTTAAATAAAATATTCTACAGTCACATCACATACACAAAGGTCCTGGAAACCTAGTTTTGAGAGAATTAGTCGAAATAGAATACCGGTACCATAGCAATAACTACAACTATGTAACCACTACCATATCGGTAATTGTAATGGACTTTGGAATACAAGTCAAACCTATAATTGCCATTTTTGTTTCCATTAAAAGATTTCACCAAAAGATAATGCAATTTTGTTTTATCAGAGTTTGGTGTCAAGCAGTGTGTCAGCTGGTATAAGCTCTGCTGTTTTCTGATGTATAATGAAAAAGGTATATCAAATGAATCAGTCTGGTCATTTCTGTTTTTTTTAAAAAGTTGTAAATTGTTTTTTTTACCAAAAATATTCCTTAAACAAATCTGACAGAGAAAAAATAGCCCTTTACTAAAATTCACTGAAATTAGAAAGTTGTAGGTATCGTCAGCATAAGAACAAATCTGGAAAAGAACCGAGAGAGAATTTATTGCATTCTCAGATAGAGGAATATTAAAAAAAAAAATAGAAATGTTTTTTTAAGTTTATGTTAAACAGACATGACCAAACATTCTGTTGACCATTGCATTATCAGTGAACTTTTCACACACAAAAATGAGAATTAGCAAAGTTTGAGACATATTCCTATCTATAACAGTGTAACTACGGTAAGTGTAGTAAATGACATATACCTTTGGCAGTACAATCTCCTGCTACAGTGATAAGATTAGCCAACAAGATGTGACATGAATGAAAGAGACAAAGAGCAGTAAGAAATATATTAGTTAATGTGCCAGAAACATTGTGTATAGTTAGAAGGCAGTGAATAGTGGGATTAGAGAATATATACCGGTAGTCAATTTGACTGAATGATAAAGAGACAGAAATATTTGATTGCCTTTGATAGGCATTCACCCAAAAAAACAAACATAAACATTTGGAGGAGTGATACTGATTACTGATTCGGAGGAAATGAAACATGAATATTTATATAATGTTAGTCCTTTTAAGCCAGTAGAAATTTTTCAATAGATTGTATCACAGGTGGATGTTAAATTATATAAACAGCGCTACCAAGTGGTGATAATATATAATTATCAAATATGGTTGCGCTGTTTATATTTAGAGAATTTCAACTATCATAACTTGTGTCCCGAGATAGTCAATAATTTAATGATAGTTCAAGATGGAGATATGTATATTGATTAATTATGTTAACTACAAATGCCGAATATTGAGGAATTATTAGAGACGCCTATTATAGAGCCAAATCAAAATTAGTTACATGTATGCTGAAACTAGAATACTTCTTTGACATACGTTGTGGACAAGAAGTACTAGAATATGAATATGACAATGTACATAATAACAATGCACATTTGACATGTGAGATAATGTCAGACAACACACTTAAATTCAATACACATGATATGAACAATTATGATAAAACGTAAATAAGTATAAATATATAAACAAACAAATAAATAAATAAATTATTGATAAAACAGATCAAAGACTGACATAAAACTTATATTAGATGGAATGAATAAACAGCATTAAACAATTTTAAGAACCAACAAAAATGGATGGTAACATATAAAGGAAATAGAAATCAATCAAACCTGCTCATCGTCCTGAGGAAGAGAAGAAAAAGAAGAGCAAGAAAAAAAAGTGGGTTGATTGGATGATACAAATATTTTCAAAGAGCTATGTATCAGTATCATTTATAAGATGAGTGTCATATACATATAAAGGTATGCTGAAATTCCAGTGAATTGTGAAAATGAAAACAAAATCGCAAAACTTAAGTGTTTGAAAGGGTAACTTTACTTCATGAAGATACCATCTTTTTAGCTTTAACTTGCTAATGGTACAACAACAAATGTGTCAACTAAATAAGACTGAATAAAACAAATAAGTAATACCTCTGATGTTGAGCTGATTTTTCGCCTTCCTTTATTGTCAGCTGATATTCCTTTTTTCATAAGATAATATAATAGAGGTTTGTCTTGAGTTTTCTCAGAATCGACTACGTTGACTTCTCTTGCTAGAGTGTCTCTACTTTCATAGTTGCTACCCTGAAAGTAAACATCCAAGACAGAGTTATAGCCAAAAAATTGAAAGTGCCTGTCTTAAAACATTATCAAAATGAAAGATAACATCCAGAGTCTGTAACCACAGGCTTATCAGTGATTTTTTTTTGATTATTCATGGTTATTTCGATATTTACTGGTGGTTTTCAATCAAAATTATACAGGTTTGTAGAAAATTTGCCTGTCAAATGAAATTTTGCCGACTCAAATGTGGAGTGCCTGTCTAAAATGATAGGTAGATAGGTGGATGGCTAAAAGCCTGATCCAGGTTCATTCATTGACCTTAAAATACATCTCAAAATGTACATTCATACAAACTAAAATAAATGTGGCATTTTGATCATGACAACTTTGGCATATGCATAAACATCTATACTACTAATATAGCAAATAGGGTATTCTACTGTATACTGGGATCTGTAAGTGTAATAGCAACTAAGGTATTTTTCCTGTATCACCTCTTGCACACAAAAGTGAAGGGAATAGTATTCAGCATTTTCTGAATAACGCAAAATTCCTCAAATGCTATATGTGACAATACTTACAATATTAGTTTCTGGATCAAACACAGCCAAGGTGAAATCTAAATTGAAGTATTGAAGGAACTCGCGTACTAAGGATAATGTGAGAACACCTGCAATAACAGAAAATATACAATTAAGGTTTTAATATGGGAAATTTTTATGATAATTACACATGTGCCTGTACATATAAATGTGCATTTTCAGAAGAATAAGAACAGAGAAAACAGATAAGCCTTGTCCACATATCATAAAAAAAATGGCAAATTATGAATGCAAGTGAATAGGTTAGCAGATAGCAGATGGCATTTTAAGGATGAAGTTCCTTTACACATATTGAAGCACCCATATGGAGAAGGGGCTTGAATTAACAAAATCAATAATTTTTAAGTCAAAGCATTAATATTTTTAGTACATTATTAGTAGTTCAGGTAGGGCTACTAATTTTGAAAAAATGGTATCCCCAGGACAAGATTTGGTAGCCTGTACGCCTTAGGCTCCTGTTCATTTTGAGCCCTGGACCATCATGGATTCAATTTTGGGATTGTGAGGGCACCAATTTTCAAGACAAAATGTTGAAAACTAATTGAAAAAGTATAGTGAAAATTTAAGGGTCCTAAGTCAGGTGGGATATCTAGGCAATTGCCTTTGTAGTCTCCATGAATTCTGGACATGACTAATATTGCTGTGTTACCTATTCACACAGTGGCGTCAAATTACTTGATGCTGCATTTTGATTGGCTTATAAATACAATAATTGGCGTTACACAACATTGTCTTTTATCCCTTTATGTTTGTGAACACAGTGTTTATTAATAACTGTGAATGAGACATAATTGAATCCACACTGCAAATATGAATTAACAAAGAATAATGTTTTGATTTGTATTCATTTACTTCACATTAGTTAGCAAAGCCAATCTGTGTTAGTTTCGATGAGGAAAAAACTCCAAAGAACTAAATATGACAATGGAATTTTGTCAGAGCAGCTTGGCTGGTGGATAGTCTATTATTGTACAACATGATTCTATTTGAGGTATCATTCTGCAGATTTGATTTTTTTTTTCAAGGAATTGTCTTACCTTCTTTAGTTGAAATAAATTTTTTAAGATCATGATTGATAAGTGGTGCTCCATTTTCAATGGATTCCTGTTCTTCTAGAGCAAGAAAGACACTTGCTCTCAACTGAGCCTAGGAAAAAAGAACATTTGATGTGATTCAGTATGTTACCTTAACTTTTCGATAATTTTAATTCAATCTCATCGTCTGAATAACATGGCTTTGCGAACTCGAGATAAATATATTTCCAAATAACCTGAGCGTGAAATAATTAAATCCTGGCATCACTGTACAACAAGGGTGCAGAGTTTGATAAATGATTCCATTTTGCACTAGTGAGTGGTTCCGGTAAATAATTATTATTTCAACAATGTTTTAAAACCCAAACCATGCTGAAACCCCAAACCCTTGCAATATAAACTTCGACCCTAAAATCGCTATTAGAAGCCGCATCCTTAATAGAAGTTGCACCCACTCGTTTTAAATAATTGAGAACCAAAAATTCATCATTTCTCATATGTGTACATGCTCTAATAGAACCTGCATCCCCTCTATTGCAATTGTACCATTTTAATAGAAGTCACGGTTTCTAATACAGATTTTACCGTAACCCACTGAAGCCATAATTTCTCCCCCAAAACTGTATAATCCTTGATTGCTTGTGTCTTATGCAATCATTTATGGTGTACATATAACTGTCACACAACCTCAAACTACATCAATGCCTAAATCTGATCAGATGCGTTTGTAAAACATGCGCCCGACAAGAGTTGGCACAGCATATGTCAACTGAGAGTAAAAAAAAGAAAATCATGTTGAATTACCGAAGATAAACACTGTATTAAACACTTGCTGAGCAGAATATGCCAAGACATCGTGTCAAAACGATGAACAAATTAGTGAACAAAGATCATTCTGTCTAGGATTATCGATATATAAAATTTGGCTGGGTCAAACAATAGTGATTACATGTAATTTATATTAATCTCGAGAACTTGATTACCAAGATGAAATAAAAATAACCTTTCAAACAAATGATTTTACCTATCATCATAGGATTTCTGCTGAAGGGCCATGTCATTTTTAGTTCCTTAAATGATAGATTTTGATCACCTTGCAACACAATATTCAAGATCCTAGCTAGCCCTAACCCTTGATCCACAGTGTTGTCAGAGTGAACATCAGTCCTGAGCTCACAACAAGTGTTCGGACATGATCACTATGTTTCAGAATTTACCGTGTATTTGTAGTCAACTTAAGGTTTGGGTGGGAAACCCACAAGAATATGCCCCCATCTCTTGCCGCGTACTATCACGAAACTTTAATCTTTTTTGACATGGCAACAGCGAACGTTTTCAAAGAAAAAAAAAAATATACATTAACAGTACGTTAAGCTAAATGAATTGTACAGTGTGTTCAGTACTTGGTTATAAACGACATATTTGAACTGCACGAATAATAAGGGTCTGGCGAACGAAAACTTGTTCAGTCTTGAAAACAAACCACAATCACAGGCGCGAACGACATCGTACAATTTAGGACTGAGTTTTTCGAATTTCGTCGCTGATTTTAAAAACAAACGTCACTCGAATGAATACAAACTCTTATTTTTCCCAGGACACCATTGTTTTCCAATGTTTGAGCAACCAAATCTCTCAATTCCGTATCTTCGTCGGCTGACATGTTGATTGTTGTTAGTTGTCGATTGACCTCTGAATCTGAGCTTCCGAATACCGCCGAAACACGATCGGGATTGATCGGAATTCCTCATGAACGACATTGATGACGTTTTGGCTATTTTTAATTTTGATTCAAATTTCGAACTATATCGTGAGTTGCATCTTGACTAGTAAAAATAAATTATATAACTTCCTTGCTGTTTACTTTATTTTCTTTTGGAAGCACCCAAGGTGACTCGTTTCATCTTTTACCCGGAAGAAATTAATTTCTCGTACCTTGTCCTACGATGCTTTAAGCATACGAGTTTTAGAAATATCACAAGGGATTCTGGGAGAGGAAAGACAGAGAAGTCGTATTTATTTAGTGTTGTTGATCACGCACCGGAGTCGGGCATTAAATTTTGAATCCTACTTAGTGTAACATCTGGAGAAGATCGTAGCGATGGAGCCCGCAAAGTTCATGTTCTTCGTTTCGTGTGCGTTCAATTTTTTCTGCATTTCCATCGGAGAAGAAGGTCCTCTCACTCTGTTGGTAAGCTTCGATGGTTTTAGGTGGGATTACGTCAACAAAGTAGAAACGCCGAATTTTGACCAGCTGATCGCCGACGGAGCTTTTGTTCCAGACGGTATAGTGAATACGTTCATCACGAAAACTTTTCCTAACCATTTTACACTGGCAACTGGAATGTGGGAAGAAAGTCACGGGATTGTGGCCAATAATATGTACGATCCTCTACTAAATGAACATTTCCATATTGGAGACGAGGATGCCAAGGACGGCAAATGGTGGGACACCGGGGCCGAACCGATCTGGGTGACGAACCAACTGCAGGGAGGTCGGAGTGGTGTATATTACTGGCCAGGAAGCGAATCAGAAATTAAAGGTATTCGACCGAATCATTACAAAAATTATTCGACTGATACGCCTTTCTCAGATCGCGTTGATGGTGTATTGGAATGGTTCACCGGAGAAGATCCAGTTGATGTGGGCTTACTGTATTTCAATGAACCAGACCACAGTGGTCATGTTTATGGACCAGACGCGCCAGAAATGCTGAATGTTATACGCATGTGTGACGACACAGCCGGATATCTGATAAAGAGACTAAAAGAAGAAAATCTGTACGATAAAATTAATGTCATTATCACCAGTGATCACGGCATGGCTGAATTAGATATGAAAAAACGTGTCATTGTGTTGGAAAACTACATCAACTTGGATCTGTTTGAAGTGGTTGATGACACTCCGGTGGCTGCAATCAGACCATTTGATAGTAAGTATTGTTTAAATTCAGCGAGGAAGGTATTAAAGGTCATTTATCTATGAGATGATTGATGTTTAATTAATTTCATTTGAGATGTAATTATGTGCATATTATTAGCCTTATATCATTGAGCTAATGTAGCAGTTTGTTTCTGAATTTAGAGCTCATGTTGGTAACATCATCTACATGATTACATTCCTAAATGCCAGCAATTCTTATAAATAAAAAAAACAAACTATAAATATCTTAATCATAAGAACTGGACTAAAATGAAAAAATGCTTTCTGGTATTTTATATTGATGTTTATTGTTATTATCTGAAAGTATTTTTTTTTTAAATTCTGACAAAAAACTGACATGTGCAATGAAAAGAAACATCAATATGTTTCCCCTGTACCTGCATTATAGTAATCTCACAAAAGAGAGATTATCTTCCTGTTTATAACAATAGTTCTGTTGGTGTCATCACGCAAGTATTCGCTACCCCAGACAGTACCAGTACCTCATAATTTGGGTATATATAGAAACTTGTCTGCCCCTCCTGTGTTCATTCACATATAAACCCCCCCCCCCACTTGTTCGTAGCATGGAAGGTACTAATGGCAGCACCTTCCATGTTCGTATATATATTTATAGAACTCAGAAGCGTGGATCTATGATCCTATTGATGTCATTATTCTTTGTGTTTCACTGCTAGTTGTGTCATAAGTCTTTGTTTTTTGGTGTGAATGATGTCATCGTTATTTGTGTTTTAAGCCTATTGATGTCATTATTCTTTGTATTTCACTGCTAGTCGTGTCATAAGTCTATTGATGTCATTATTCTTTGTATTTCACTGCTAGTCGTGTCCTAAGTCTTTATTTTTTGGTGTGAATGATGTCATCGTTATTTGTGTTTTAAGCCTATTGATGTCATTATTCTTTGTATTTCACTGCTAGTCCTGTCATAAGTCTTTGTTTTTTAGTGTGAATGATGTCATCATTATTTGTGTTTTAAGCCTATTGATGTCATTATTCTTTGTATTTCACTGCTGATTGTATGCTGATTGATATTATTGTTCTTTTGTCATTCAAAACAGTAAGGTGTGATAATTGTTATACATGTACTATCAGAAATAGCGATCTCTACACAGAATTAGGTCTCATCAACTTAATAAATTTTAGAGGAATTGTCACCTACATCAGAGCATGACTTCACAGATAAAAAACATCCATTTCCAGGCACAATTTGTTACTTTTGATTTTGATGTTTTTTGCCGTACTTACATTTACAATTTTTTCAAACATGAATTTCAGTTACAGGGACTTTCATTTCCCAAATTTTCACTCTTGAAATTAATGACTTTTCAAATAAGTTTCTAGAAAAGTAATTCAAAAAATTATTTGAGCATTATTTCACACAAGGACATATCAAGAGTTTACGCAACAACAAGTGCCGCTATATAAAATGCCAATGCATCGCCAAAGTGAAATTGCACCCTCTATCAGTATGTAGCACAACAGAAATTTATGTGTTAATTAAAACCTTGCTGGTTTTCTTCAGTTATTTCAATTTGTTATCATAGTTTACTTTATTATTTCATTGTTTCCGAAATTCCAGGTCTAATACAACGCATAGATACAAACATCCCATCAATCTATTTTAAAGCATAGAGGAATAGTATAGGGAAAGTTTTCATATTTCAAAAGGCATCAATGCAAAACTCTCTTCGATGTCTCATTGAAGTTTCTTGCATGTATAAATTTGTAAACCAACACATTTCCAGCATTGACTATTTTATTAAAATTCATCGTTATTGTCGAATAGGGGTGCGAATCGTCACTGCCAACACCTATTTCACACTTTAAATACACATGTTGAGAAACCTGTACTAATTGCAGACAATGGATTGAATGCCGGGAAGATGAAGTCTTAATTAAGTTGTACAATCTATTTTTAATCCTAAATTAATTTATAAATTATTCTTTTCTTTGAATTCTGTCAAATTGCACTAATAAACCAGTTACTAAATGTCAGATCTTACTAAAAAGGAACTGTACATTTTTGTACATGTTTCCATATTGCTTTTTTAACAGTGAGCAGCTATGCAACTACCATATATCCAACGCATAGATTCCACATAAAAAAACACTGTGGAAACCTTTTATGTTGTAAAGCAAAAAAAAACAAAAAAACAACACATGTTTTATTAATTATTCAGAAAGATACTGACACCTGTTGGATTAATTATTGTTTTCTATGTTTTATTTTTTTTCTCATGATAATCATGGTAATCATCAAACAGTAAAAAATGTCTCTCGTCAATTTCACGTTTTACAATTAATGTCATATAATCTTTATTGATGTGTATCTTCTATTTGGGATTTGTACATCAATAAATTTGATAAAGGTTCTATGAAATATTTTATTTGTGTGCCATCAAATATTTTTAGTGGAAAAAACAACCCATTTTTAAAAAGCAGTTTGACCAGAAACATCTATTTTTTTTATTTTTGCAATGCCTTATTTCAGCTAAATTATCTCCATTGTATATTAATTTGTATTAAAATACAAATATGGTAATTGATTTTCTTAATTTAACATTCTAAGAACGAGATCGCACTTTAGATAAAATAATTGATGCTAATTCATGCATTAAGTGTTTTCAAAATTATGATAAAACAAAAAAATGGAAAGGTTATAAAATCTAACTTCTGATATAAAAATTGTACTCTGAGATCATTTACATCGCTTTATTAGTATACTGAGACTATTACATGAAGTATTGAATAGTGCGGATTCACCCATGTTTGCACTTTTTCTGGATAACGACTGACTACGTTAAGAGGTGAATCGATGCACATAGTAATACTATTCAAAACCATTCGGAAATGAAATTTACACAATCTAAAGGGAACTAAATTGCAACAATCACTGACATCGGATATGCCAAAAATTTAATGTATATATATATATATATATATATCACATATTCAGACAATGAAATAATAAATATGAAAAAAAGAACGAATACAAATTTAATATTTTTTTTACAGTATTTTCATATGAGATTCATATTTATTGTCAATATGTGTCACACATGAATAACGATGACGAGATGTCTGCGGTAGGCTTAGTACTAATAATGATGACTTCACAATAATGTTAACACAATGACTGGTGCATATCTCAATTCCATATCAGTGATTTTGTTATAAATTTGTTTGTACAGTCAAGCCTGCTACTATGGTACATGTATTTGAAAAAAATGTTCTTAATGGACAGGTAGTATTTAGTGTTAAAACAAAACAAAAAATGTATACCCATCTTCCATCGTTTTATCCTAACACAAGTGTGATTGTATGTTATATACAATTCACTTATACTTTTTTTTTTTCAGACAAAAACATTGTAACTATTTACAATGCCCTGCATGATAAACATCCAAATTTGACAGTTTACCTGAAAGAAGACATACCAGAAAAATTTCATTATCAGAAAAATTCCCGAATTATGCCTATTATCTTGGTTGCAGATGAAGGGTGGAGCATCGCATCCACTAAAGCTGAATATATGAATTCAACCCGTAAGTTCTAGTTTTATCGTTAATCTACTGGTTATAAATACTTGACGACTTTATATATATTTAGTTTGTCTGTGTCATCTGTGATTTGGTCTGTGCATCTATTCACTGTAATCCTGTTCATTTCAAGCTATTTTGAGCCATGTTTTGTTTGCAGTTGCGAGGCGCTTTGCAAGCTTGTGAGTTTAAATCATATGTTGCGTTGTTCATGTTTGAAATATGCCTTTAATTTATATGAAATATACATGTTCCTGTTAGTCTGGGACTTGTATGCAACTAGCTCAAACAGTGACAGTCAGCCAGTAATAGATAGTATGTGTTTAAATATCGTATGGCGGAAGTTTTAAAACCTGTATTTCAAACCTTGTCGGTTTCAAAAAAATCTAAAGCAAAAACTGACCATTTGTCAACAGTTATATATGTATAGTAAGAAATCCTGAGGGCCCTTATCCATAGCTCTGATCCCAACCCTGCCCTCCCCTGTTTTAATTATTTATATGTCCCTCTTCAGAACACACATAGTTATTTGGAGGGGCATATACTATTACATTGGAGGGGTGTTTTTTCCATTCATTTTGGAATATTTTAGCAGGTGATGTATTAAAAAAATAGTATTAGCTTTCCAGAGTGATATCATTTCTATTATTAACTTATTCACTCAAGCCAGATATGTATGCTGGTACAGTACATTGCCATTGGTCACACATCAGTTAACATGGACATATCCTCAGTGCTTAATGTCACTAATGGTTATGAAATATCCACCTTCTTAAGTGCCTAAAAATAATAGGTCACATGACTGTAATTTTTTTGATGAAAATGAGTTGGAACTATAAGTGTTCTCAAATTCAGGGTTCTGCCCAGGTTGACAAGAGTGCTGGTCGCTCATTAATATTCATGAGACCATTAACATTTTAAATTGGTGCATCAAAAAATGCGATGTACTTCATATAGGATCATACCCTGCCTCTAATAAATGAAAGTAAAATCGTTTTGACGGACTGAAAGTTTGTCATCGAAATAGCCCTTTGACGTGTGAATTCAACAAAATTGTCAACAGATTGATCCTTATGTTGTCAAATCAGTATAAAAGTACATGGGGCTGACAAAATTAGGGTTAACTTATTCACCACCAGTTCTCTCTTTTCATCACAAATTCACAAAATAGTCCTGTTTATAGAAGAATGAGACTGAAAAAATTGACTCAAATTTTGTCTGTTGGACGCCAAAATTCGGGTTTGTTTCCAGAAATGTTGAAAAATATATAAGAAAAAGAGTGCAGAAATATTTGGGTAATAAAGTTTGGTGTTGAAAACGTTAAATATGAAATGAACATTTCTGGCATCAACAATTTAATTCTTCAAATTTACTCTCCATTCATGTGTTGATTTTGTTCCTGCATCAGCTGTGCCATCCGAGATAATATACACTACCATACAACTTTTAATTAAATGTCTCCATGGGAGTCTACTCTCTACATTATAGAATTCCATTTTATAACAATGAAACAATACATCTTTGCTGATACCATATTTCATATTTGTGTCTATAATTTGCATAACAATAGTTCATTGTAAACATGATAATTATCTTAGAATTTATAGACCATTATCTTTTAACCTTGATGAGAAGTATTCACCCGTGAGATAATTTTCCGAATAGAGGCATATGGTTTCGAGAAGATAATAAAGACTTAATCGTTATACTTATAAACCTGCATCGTTTTGGAGACGTAATTTTCTCTCAACGAATGGTGTGACACACAATAGTAATAGATTGAATGTTGTGTTCATGACAACCACAATTACAATGTATTGAATATAATATACGACTGGCGCCAAATTAATATTCTAATACAAATATCATCATTTTGAAACTGAAGTTTATTTATTTCACTTATGCTTATTTGAAATTATTTTTAGTTTATTTATTTTATTTTATTTTATTTTATTTTATTTTATTTTATTTTATTTTATTTTATTTTATTTTATTTTATTTTATTTTATTCATTTTTTTTAATTTATTTATTTAGAGCTGTTGGTATAAGTCTGACGTTGTTGTCCCACATCAACTTTTTCTTTCAAATGCTTTTTGAAAACCAAATACTCTATTAAATAGTTATATTCTTGGTATATATGTTCTTTGAACGAACCTTTATGAGATTTTATCATTTTGTGATGATATCTGATTCTTCATTTCTCTATTTTTAATGAATATTTTTGTAATTTTTGGAAGTTTGAAAACTTCTACTCTGATTGGTTTGATACTTGGCGTTACATGTATATTAGAATTCTCAAATTTGTTTTACTTCTTCCAAAAAACTGCTATTCCAATTACTTTGATACTTAGTATATGTGTACCTTGGGTGGACCTCTATTCAATTTGAATATTTCCAGATGATATCTTTAATTTTGTAATGAAAAATGCTATTTGAATTTTTCGTGATATCTGCTGCCAAGAAATGCAGATCTAATCAACACCTATGATTTAATACTATCACTGTCTTAGCTAAAGCGTTAGTGTACACAGTTTATAGCTTATGCTTGTGCATACATGATTTCAACAATCTTTACATAGGCAGCTTGTCTTCACTAATTAATTTATACATTGTTTATCTGTCTATCTGTCATCTGTCAGATCAACCCTTTGTTCTAAGTGAGAATATAATCAAACCAGTCTTATGTTAGTTATGTTCAAGATTTAAGCTAATCTCATATGTTTGCATCGGCTATACCCAATTGTGTTCACAGAAAGTGACAATAGTTAGGACTTGCACAGCTTGTGACAACTTGTTGTTGTTGAGTATATACACAAACAATAACTTCAGTACCAGCTGTCTCCAAAAGAAAAACCCCACAAAACACAGATTTACATTTATTTACATTATATTACAATTATTCATTTATCTCTTATTGTGAGATATGTATTTATTTATTTCATTCATTTACAGTATTTTTAGTATTTCCTTTTATTTTCATTTTTTTTATTATTACATGTTTTTGACTTTATTGTATTTTATGTCAAGATCTCATATGGGGTACGATAGCAATAAAGAATTACTTACTTACTTACTTACAAATCTTTAGACCTTTTAACCAAAGACACTATTTTCTTGGGTCTTTGTTTTAACTATGATTTCTCAGTACAGAAACCTATATACATATATATATATGTTAGTTTTATGGTTATAAAATAATGCAAATTCAGAAAGTGTGGATTGCAGAATAAGACAAAGTAGTATACAGTCTCTTTGTGGGTTCATCATTTTTTTCGAAGTCGCATAAAACAGCAAGTTCCCCCTTAAAACAGAGAAAAAATATTTTTCTTTGTCTGTCTTTGAACATGAAATTAAGCTCAAACACAAACAAAATGAAAATTCAGTCTTTAAATACACCCAAATTATAACATTTTGAAATAAGGTTTGTATTTTGCATAATGTGCATTATAAATTGTAGGAGTCGAAGGACGATGATTTTAAAGTTGCTTAGCCACTCGTAATTTCGGCGTTTGTGCACAGTTAATTAGAAAATACCCATGATGCTTTGGTTCATTTTATATTTTGCTATTTTCTCTATTATAATAGTGTGAATATTTTTTTTATTGCAACATATCATAGTGCATATACCTTCACTACTGCATAACAATTAAATTTATTAACTCATAACAACCTACTGGAGGAGGTTAAAGGTTACAAAAGAAAATTACAAATAAAAATTAATCAAATTACAATGGCTAAGAGTTTAAAGCACAACCAAAAACTAAATTGAAATTAGTAACGGAAGTATATAATTAAATAAAATGAAACACCCACAAAAAACTATAAGCTGAATATAAACACAAAAACTGCATGTGTCGTGTACAAAACAATCTTGGTTGGTTCAGTAAGTTATTTTGGGCGGCTGTGTTTTATAGCATGTTTGAAGCTAGCTGACTTGTTTATGGTATCACAGGGAGTAACAATTATTTAAAGGGGCACCTTCCAGTTAAGATTAATTTCACAACAAATTTACTTTCTGGATTAAAATAACAATGGATAACAAAAGATAGATTAACATTGTAAACAACATAAACAATAGTGTCCCATGATTCTTTGGTGCAATCCATGGGATTGAGCGGTTCCGCTTTAAAAAAAAAAAAAATTACAAAGTATTTTTTTAACTACCCTCCTCCTTGTGACCTTCACCACCTAATCACAAAATGGAATGCACCACTTTTCAATGACCTTCCTAAATAATAACTGTTTTAAGCTCTCAATAAATTGAAATTGAAAATTTACCTAAAGCATTAGTACACACAGCTTATAACTTCTTCTTATGTATACAACTATCACCATATAAAATACACAATGATTAACCCTTTGTTCCAAGTGTGAATATAATTGAGTGAATAAACTAGTCCTGCTTCAAGGAATTACAGATTGACAGTACTGGTAATCAGTGTTGTCATTGTTTACTTATCACTCAGTCCCTGCCAGCCAGCAGCCAGAAAACAACCTCTTAAATATCTTACTTACCTATGTTCACATTAATATCTGTATTATATGGAGATTATATTCATGAAACAAAATACTGTGAAATAATATATTTCAGCTGGAATTAATTTTTCGCTGAAATAACTTTTTAGGTGTTTTGTATGGATTTTTTTTTCACTAATTTTTGACGAGTTAAATGTAAAATTATACAAAAAAAGAATATTCACTTGATTTTATTTTCACTGAATCATTCCCTCAGCGAAGATAGCAAAAATTTATTCCAAGTAA